TTTCAGAGCATTTTCACACAGAAAAAAGTCATGTTGTTGTTGTTCTTGGAGCATTAGTGAAAGCAACAAGGTCACCACATGTGGGTGTTGCCCCTCAGCCATACCTTTGTCCTCAGTGCCTGGCTTGTGCTGTTCAAAAATTACTTCAGCAAATGACAAAGTACCACCTATTTTGGAACTTTAAGATTGCCTTTAGCAGCTGAAGTTGCCACTGTACTAAATGCCAAGGATCTACCGCATGAAAAGACTTTCTTCACAAGTTACCTCACCACCGAGCCCAGGCCTACACCCTCCAGCAGGCATCATCTGGGCCCTCCCCGGGGCCAGGCCCTCCATGCTGACTCCCTAAGGGGCTGGAGCACCGCATGCTGTGCTGCATGGACCTGACTTGGAGCTGGTCCTGACCACAGGACCCTAAGCAGCCTTGGGGCTTGTGAGAGCTGGAGGGAGAGTTCTGGCTCTGTGGTTTGGAAAGCCATGGAACTAGGAGAGCGTGAAAGCCAGTATGAGATTTACTGTAAGCAACCCGAGATCTGAGGAAAGAAAATAGATGGCTTGAAATCAAGTGGAAAAAAATAAAACCTTCACAAGGCTTTGCACTCAGTCTGGGGTAAAGAAAACCTCCAAGGCCAGTATCGCTACTGTTCTTTCAACCTCGGAGAGCGAAGTGGCCAGGCAGCCATGAGGCTGCACTCCACCAAATTTGCATCTGCCCATGGTGGCCTCACCCTAGCTCTGCATCTCTCTCTCTCTTTCTCTCTCTCTCTCTCACACTCTCTCTCTCTCTCTCTCTCTCTCTCTCTCTCTCTCTCTCTCTCTCTTTCTCTCTCTCTCTCTCCAAATATATATATGAGAAGAACTGAAGTGTGTCCCAGTCCCCTACTCCACTTCTCCCTAGTGTGTGATTTGAGACACTCTGCTTCTCTTTGGGCTACCAAGATATGTTTCAACTGCCCATAATAGAAACATATCACCCCAAAACAGCATCAACAGGTTCAGGAAAGCTGAATCTGAACCCGAATAGTAAGGCCCTCACAAGTCATCTTGTCCTATGGTTTTTAAGCTATGTTTGCAGACCTGGGGCTTCTCCAAAAGGGGTTGGGAGATGGGTGGGGCAGTCTGGGGTCTTCATTTGGGGGTCTCCTGAAACCCCCAAAACTCTGGTCAAAGTAGTTCTGCTGCATCTGCTTTAATAAGGATATTTGGGGTACAGTTTATTTGGGTAAAGCTCAGATTTTGTTTCGTTATAAAAAGAGAGATAAAGGAGCTAAGGCACAGGTTGGCTCAGCCACACCGCCTGTTGGAGAACCCAGTATCCTGAAGCTACACTGCATACTGCAGCCAGTCAGCAGGATGCTCCCCCGTGATTTGTCCTCATTGGCTGCCCTGGACAAACCCCTCTCTACTCAGTCTGACAGATGGCGCCTGTGCAGTGATTTCTGCCCCCCAAGCCCAAGTGTTCATAAGGAAAGGCCTTTGCAAGTTGCTAACCCCGGCACAGGAGGAACGAGGTGGGTTTTCACAGCCCTGTTATCACCACCAGATGAATCACAGCAAACCTGGAGCCAGGCCTGGCGTCTCTCCCGAGAAGGGAGATTGGAAGCGCTGGAGCAGAGGGGAGCGCCGCCGGAGTGCAACATGACAGGCATGTGAGGGGGAGTGGACGTTCCAGGAGCACCCATTCTGAGGGCGCAGGCGAGAGAAAAACTTTTTCAGAGGAGCCCTCGGAAATGCCAGGAATGTTAACGTGTTATTTTAAATGATTTCAGCGTGACTCTCACAGGATCTGGGTAGCATCATGACAGGCTCTTCCCATCCTGCTCTCAGTCTTGTCTGTCCTCCTTTCAGCTGCCACCCCACTTCAGGAAGCCTCCCCGACCAGGGCCAGGGGAGCATAGGTGGGCTCCACTCTGATTTCAAGTCTCTGGCAGGCAACCATCCTGAGACTGGTCGGACTGGGAACAGGTGGCGCAGGCCATGCCCTATTCCCCACCTGAAACCCTCAGACCAGACAGGGAACTGAAAGTATTCTTGAACTTGAACAAGAAAGAGGGAGTTAAGAGTCTTTTCCAGGCCTCCCAGGTGGCGCAGCGGTAGAGCGCTGGGTTGCGAAGCTGCCCGCGGCCTCTGTGGCGCCGGTTCGATCCCCGGCTGCTCCCCGGCCACCGGAGGAGGGTCCCACATGGCGCGCAGACCTCTCCTGCCGCCCGCTGCTCCCCTCAGCAGTGTACTTCGGTCCTTCTGCCTGGTCTGCTCCCTACTCTGGCTCTGGTGAATTCTTTCACCCTCCCGCGCTTCTGACTGTACCCAGTGCATGTATAAACAAAACAAACAAACAAACAAACAAATAAATAAAAACATGCCTCTATTAAAAAAAAAAAAAAAAAAAAAGAGTCTTTTCCAGTACACCTCTGGGTGGCTCACTCCCATCCCCTCTCCTGCCCCCCTCCCCGAGCAACCACACACAGCTCTGAGGTTGCCCCTAGCTGTGCAGGCAGGGCCTGCCCAGGGCAAGCACCACCACACACTGACATGCCCGTGGCCATGTCTACCAAGGGAGAAACATGGCCACCACCACAAGCTGCCAAGCCAAAACAGACGGCGCAGACAGAAGAGGACACAAGAAGCACCTGAGCGCTGCTGGAACAGGATGGAAAAGGCAGCAGCCGTTCGTCAAGGCTTGCTCCCCACCAGGAGGCCAGCCAAGCGCACACGTTTCTTCCTTCATTTTATGAGGCAGGAATTCTCATCCCATTTCAAAGAGCAAGAAACTCAGGCTCAGAGGATTATAGTCAGGCCTGACACCAAGTCTGCTATACTTCCAAGCTCAGGTCCTTAAATAGCAAATCCTATGAGCCCCGCTCAGACCAGGGGGCCTGAGTCACGCTGTAGAAACCTGGGGCAAGTCACTGACTTCTCAAAGCCTTGCTTCCTCCTCAGAAGCACAGAGATGGAGAGAGAAGTCAGTGTGCTGCCTAACAGGGCTGCGTGGGGCTAAACGAGCACTGTGTGTGGATGGGAAAGCAAAGGACCTGGCTCTAGGAAGAAGGGAAGGCCACAGGAGTAAAACAAACCCAGCCAACGCCCTGCTGGGTCCAAGGCCAGCACAGGTCTCTGTAGTGGCCCTTCTGGAAGGAGGGGACCAGGCTGTTGAGCCTGCCCACGGAGACCTTGATATCATCAACCTTCTTAGGGACCCTGAGGGGAAGACAATTATCATTTACCCTCTCCCCTGCCTGGGAACAAGGGGGAGGAGGCGACTCCCATTAGATGACACACCCCTGTCCGTGTATGTATCTGCCTGTGTGTCTGGGCGTGTCTCTGTCCCTGGTGGGAGGCGGGGTTGGCAGGACTGTGACATCAGACCCATAGCATGAGGCTCGCAGGTCCAGCAGTGCAGTCTTCCTCACACAGGTGGCCGACAGGTGCCGCGGCCTAGACAGGGACTGACCCTTGCCTGGCTCATTTGAATGGGGTGGGGGTTGGAGGGCAGATGCGGTCCCAGTCCTTCAGCTCTGGACAACAAGAAGAGTGGCCTGGACTTGGGGCCTGAGGCCCAGGGCTGCCAAACCACCCTAGCTGGACACAAATGTGAAGAGGGTAACTCGCTCCTTGGCTCCCAGTGGCACCTGCAGCAGTGATCCAGAGCAGAGCAGACACACCCTATATACAGAGGACTAGAGGGACCCTTGTACAGACAGGGAAACTGAGGCTGGGAGGATCACACTGCCAGATATATCACCAGGCCTGGCCCTTCTGGGAGCTCAGCTTCTCCCAAGTGAGCTGAAGGGTCTCATCCATACATCTGGGGTTGCTCACCCAACCCTGTCAACCCAGGGATTAATACACCCAACCCTGGGGAGAAGGCGGCGTGGCTTGTAGTCTCTACCTGGGTGAACCTGGCCAGGAATGAATATGCCCAGCAGTGGGCATATCATTATGGCAGGATTAGAAGAAAATGCTGCATACACACGCGTGCAGCAAGGTCAGCAGCAGCAAGCAGCAGGGAGGCCAGCAGCACTAGGTCTCAGGTCCCTGCCGTCCTCCTTCCGGTACCAGAGCCCACGGGTGACACAGACAGGGGAGCAGAGCCTCCGTCAGTCAGGGCCTCCCAGCCTGAGCACCACAGGCCTATTCTTTTCAGTCCCCGCTTATAGGCATCTCCTCCCCCCTCTGCTTAGAGTTGTTCTCAAATCTTCCCTCACACCAAGCACCCTCCAAAGTGAAAGTTGATTGTCCCCAGGTCTCCATGTCCCCAGGGTCTGCTCTCTGCTTGGTAGTGAATGGAGCAATCAATTATACTTGACAAAATCATGAATGGGCTACTAATCTGCTACCTTCACTGGTGACATAACGTCTAGGTGACAAATATGGATAAGAGGCCTAGAAGGCGCCTAAGGAATGAGTATGATGAAAGAACTCCAGCTCTCAGGCAGCCCAGAGGCCAAGTTGATAAGAATGCAGGATCAGAGATCCAGGCCCTCCCCGCACATACACACACCGTCCAAGGTCCCCAGACACATGTCCACTCCCTGCCTCGGGGCTAGCCCTCGACATAAGCCTTGCATTCTTAATTGCCTTGGCCTAGGATGAGATTTCCCTTCTCTGAGCTTGTGGGGATCCCTGGTCTTGTGGGAGATCCAGTTCTCAGACTCAATTGTCAATCCCACACTTGTCCAGGGGAGCCCACCTGAGTGCGTACGTATGTGCACACTCCTGTGGGACCCCAGCGGGACAGCAAACTCTTTGAGGGGGGTGTATCAGATCTTTCCCAAACTCCCCAGCACACATGGGGAGACCAGAAGAAGGCAGCACTGAACACGTGTGTATGCAGAATGTAACTGTTCTCTCCTCTACCAGCCAACTGTCCCCTCATCCATCCCAAGCACACTCACTAAGTACCCATGATGTGCCCAGTGCCCCCCGTCCGAGGTTCTGGGGAGCAGCAGTGGGCAAGACACGCAAGTATGGCTCAGGAGTAGAGGGAGAAAGATACTCACAGTTCCGTGGACCTGGACAGGATGGCAGACAGAGTGAGCAGGACACAGCCATAGGGGCCCGCTTCAAACTGGGGAGAGGAGAAAGGAAATGAGCACCTCCTCCCCCTCATCTCAGGACCACACCCCAGGAGCGGCCTCACCATCTGATTCCAGTTTACTTACTCTAAAGAGCTGTGCAGAGAGCTGCACAGAGAGCAGCAGAGAGCTGCCTTGAAGCAGAATTAGGGTCAGAAGGGGGAATGAGGTGAGCAGCGCAAGTGCTAGGTAAATTCAATCTTTGAAAAAAATATTTTTATATTTTCTTCACCATGGACTTTTCGGATTAATTTTAATTTTTCTCAGTATCACATTACAATATTAGTTATGCTAACTACTAAGTTTTTGGCACCCTTTGAACGTTGTGCCCAAGGTGAATGCCTTACTGGTCTTTCCCTAGTCCCTAGACAGGTTCGGAGCCCAAATCCTGGACCCTGGCTGCCTGGAGCCTGGCTCTGCCACTCCAAAGTACATGATAGCAAGGATACTTCTTAACTTTTCTGTCCTCAGTCTTCACACCTATGAAATAAGGGTGATAATAAGAATAGGACCTATCCTTATCAGGAAGTAATGAATATTGAGATAATCCCTATAAAGCACTTAGAACGGGGCTCAGCACCTGTGTTAACTAGTACAATGCTGGTTCTACATTGCCCTGTGACCCAGAAAGCCACAGCCCATCCTCTCCTCCAGGATCCTCCATCCCCTGCCCCAGTCAAAAATCAGTGTGAAGAACTTACAGAACTTATCATACTTTGGGGGAGATACCATTTCATGTGAGCTGTTCTGTTGAAGATATTGCCTACTATAATAGCCAGTGTTCCTTACATGTAATCCATTTCTTAAGACAGAGGGAAGCTTGTTTTCTTAGAACAATGAAAATTATATAATTTCTCATATCTCCATTTTTTTGCCTTGGCTGCCAGGAAGCTTCAGAGCCAAATATGGTGCTCAACTGTGGCAACTATTTCAGCTCAAGATTCTGATAAAAGTATCTTTTCCTCAAGATATAGCCTTTGTTTTTAGTCAGTAATTCAATTAGCCGGTCATTAAAAAAAAAATAGGGAGTTAAATTTCCATGCCAAGAGGCTGTTCCTAACTGTACTTGTGAACATGGATCCAAGATGGACATGGATCTGTCCTCATGGAAGTAACGGGGAAGGAAGAATAATAAGAAACTTGAATAGGGTGGAGGGGAGGTCTGCCCTGAGAGGAAATACCAGGTCCTCTGGAAACACCCAGGAAGGGCCTTCCAAACAACGTAGGATTTAGGGAAGGAGGGAAGGTCAAGGAAGGCTTTTGGTGGAAGTGGTGTCTGAACCCAAGGGACAGTGCTGTTCTCAGCCAGAGGAAAAGCACACAAAGACTCAGGGGCAAGAGACGGCAGGTTCACCGTGGCTGGAACACAAAAAAGCTCCAAGGACTTTTATCATCCACATTTTAGAGATAAGGAAACTGAGGCACAGAGGGGTTAAGGAATCATTTTTTATAAGTAATTTCAAATTTTTTTTGTGGTAAAAATGGAATGAATGTGTCAACAACAATCTTAAATCAATTTCTTCTTAGTTCTGTGATCTCGGGTCAGTCATTTCACTTCTGTTGTATTCAATTTTCCCATTTGTAAAATGAGGATAATGAACATCTTGCATATTTCCTTGTGTTACTGCAAATATCCTAGGAGGTCAAGCCTGTGAGATTGCTCTGACAATAGCAAAGAGTAAGGCTGATCACCTCCGCGCAGGGGACTCAGGATGGAGATCAGCAGCGCCTTGTCCCAGCTCTGCTACAGACTTGGACGTCACCTTACAGAAGTCACAACATGTCCGTCGTTCTGTTTCCCCTCTGGAGAACTACCACTTCTGCCCTGGACTTGCACTCCGTCTCGGGGAAGCCATGGAGCACATATGCCTGCCTGGCCTGCGCGCTCACAGCGCTGCGGTGAGGTAAGGAACACAGAAGCCATTGTAAATCCCAACTCTCCATGTGAATGTGGAGAATTGCTAGTCCTGCTCAGACCAGCATGTTCCACAGTCCTTGGAAAACCCTCAAGGGGACCTCTCGGGGTCTGGTTATGGCCGTCTCTGTGGGCTGGCTAAGAGAGACTGCTGGGGATGGGAAAGAGCCCCCGCGTGGTTTTTTGTTTTGTTTTGTTTTTTGCCCTTGCAGGAACACAACTGAAGAGCATCAATATTCTGTTTTGTTTGAAAGAAAAAAGATTATTACAATTATTTCATCAAATTCAAGCAGCCAGGATCTGGACGGTCACAAGCAAGGGGCCTGCATTGAGAGGCGTGCTCAGGCAGGGCAATGTGTCAGAAGGCACCCTGAGGGGCCAGAGAAATGTCAGGGACCATTTGGGAAGAAGGGTCCATTCTCCTGTGCTGTTCAGGCCCTGGAGAGACCTGAGCCCACCCAGGAGCTCCAATCAGAGGCAGGGGCGGAGGCATCCCCTCGCTTGGGGAAGAGGGGGGTAAGTGGTGGGCCAGACACTTCGCCCCAGCGGGTGAACAGTAATGAAAACACAGTGAGAAGGCTATTTATTTTGGGCAGGGATGATTAAGCATTCATTTCCAGGTCTGGCACGAAGAACCCCTCTTAGGCCCAGGCCATGAAAAATGAATTTGGTAAGGGCAGTGCTGAGGCAGCTCAACAGCTTCCAGCAAAAACATAAATTGAACGACAAGGGGAAACACTGCCTTCCAGACTGAGGTGGGCCAAATATCGACTGCTTGTACCCAGGGATGAAGCCGGGCCAGGAGAGGGCTTATTGGAGGCCAAGAACATGGTAGAAAGGCGGCAGCTCCCTCCCCTCTTGCAGTCCCCACTCTCTGAACCTCTTTCACAATCACTGTCTTGCTGAGGTTTCACTGAAGTCCTGGGGGTACAGGCCAAAGGAGAAGGGAAGCCCCATCTTATAGACAAGGAAGTGAAGACCTTGGTGCTGAGGTGACTTCTGGGGCCATCAGTGGGCAGAGGGTGAACAGCCAGGGCCTCAGAACCTTGGGTTGTTTGGTCAATCACTTCAGGGTCCTCCTTTGCCCCCTAGAAGCAATTCCCTCTTCTGACCGTGCTTTACCAGAGAATGTTGACACCAGAGCCCTCGGTCCCAGTCTCCCTTGTCAAACCATGCCCAGCTCAGGCTGAGCTCGGCAATCAGAAACACTGCTGTACCCTCACAATGAGTTGGGTATATTTAATAGTAGGCTTCCTCTCTGCTTATCTAGAGATAGCCTGGGACTTTATCTGGACAAGAGTCTTTCCCATGCATTTAAGTCTCTTCTTGAAGAGTTACAGTTGGACTGCAAAGTTGCACATTATCTGCTAACTACACCATCTCCTATTTTCCAGATGAGGCAGCTGCAGCCCAATAGCTTTCTTGAGGCCACATGTGACCAAGAAATAATCCAGAAGCAGTCCCTGAACCTCTACTCCAGGACCTTGGTGGTGGCATGGGGCCAGGTGGTGAGTTCCCTGTGGGCAGACAACACTGGACTATCCCCAGAAAGAACCAGAGACAGACAGGGACAGTGAGCAAGTGACAGGCAGCCAAGGACACCCAGATCCTCGACTAGTACCTCCCACCCCAGTACCCCTCCCACACAGCTCCCCAAAAGCCAGTGCAAAAAGAGCTTTCTAGGCAAGGCAAGCTGCCTGGCAATGGACTGAGTTGTTCCTGAGGCCACGGTTCTGGGGGAGAGAATTTAAGGGGTTCATCACACATTTTTCTCCCTGAAATCTCAGGGCAGGCCCTGTTTATCTACCCAAGGGGCATGTGTGCTATCAGGGCCAGGACATTTCCAGGCTGTGCCCAGACTCTCAGCATCTTCGGGGAGTTGTGCTGGGGAGGGGACTCTGCCAGTAGCAGTGTTTGCTGAGTTCTCCTGCTCTCCAGGCTCACTGCCCCCAGCATCCTTCTGAAGGAAGGGCAAAGAAGAGGCACAGGAAGTTTGCCTGCACCCCAGGAAAGAATGGCTCAGTGTCCTGCTCTCCTTCAGTCCTGACACACACAAGTGTGCACCATGGCATCGTGAGGCCTTCTAGTTGGGGATCTCAAAGGCCACGTCTCCTGGGCTTGACCCATGCTGACTCCTCCCTTTTATTTCTACATGTCTACAACTAACTCCTCTGAAGGTTGCCTTACATAATCATGACAATGGGGATCAGAAGAGCCACAAGGAAAGCTAAGCTCCCTGGGGACATGAAGCAGGGCTCTGGACTCTAGGCACCACACAGTGCTCTGAGAAAGTCACTGCTAACACCATCCAGTTCACAGGTGAGGAGACTGAGCACAGAGAGGTTAAGCAAGTTGCCCAAGAGCACAGAGCTACTAAGGGATGTAACCTAGAAGCAGGCCCAAGCCTAGGGTTCCGGAGACTGTGTTCTGTACCCCTGGAGCGTTCAGCACTCCTCTGCAAAGCCAGAGTCCTACTCTGAATGCCCTTGACCGTGCTTCTCTCACGCTCTGGCTGTACTCCACCCCACCCCTCAGCCAGGAGTGGGAGTACCGTTTTCTGCCAGCACACTGGGTGCCTCAGGGCCCCTGCCTGGCCTAGTCCTTTCTCCTGAGATGTCAAGCAAGCCCCTGTCCTGAGAAGGGTCTCTACAGTGGTGCTCAGACCTTCAACCCTCGTTCTTGGCACCTCCCCAGGAGGCGCCAGGCCCCGTTCACTGACAAAGGCTTCTTTCTTCCAGGATGGCTGCTTCCCTGCTGACAGAGAGAAAGCACAGTCTAGTTGTTTTCACCCTTCACTCTGACCCTGTTCTACCCCAGCTCTGTGTCCTGCAGCCTCTGCTGTGGCAGTTCTCTGTATTGTGATCGATGGCCAGTCCTCAAGGGTGTGGCGGCAGCGATTGGATCCCCTACCTCCAAGTCCATGCTTCTCCAGCCTAAATCATCCCCCTGCCCTCAGCCACACACCGGAGCCAGCTCCAGGACCTGCCCATCTCAGGGTGAGGATGAAGGCAGGCCAGTTCCAGCTCACCAGCATCACTTGAGCAAAGAAAGCAGAGGCTTAACAAATCGCATCCCACGAAGTAAACCATTGGCCATACCTGATGGATATTTTGTTGAAGAAAAGTCACCAGCTCCTCATAGCAGGTCAAATTGTGGAGTATGAGCTGAGAAGACATAAATACACAGGGTGAACTACCCAAGCCCCATGGACACTGCTCTGTCCTGGACAGCACTTGGGTATGGCGCTGCAGTCAGGAAGGGGTTCTTGGAGCAAGGAAGGGGAGGCACTCCCACACCTGTGTGCAATGTACTGGGCAGAAGGGCTGAGCTGGGGCTGCAGGATGAAGTATGCCCTGCAGAGGCACTGGGCCTCCCTCTAGAGAGGTCCCAATTAGAGACATCATAGGCCTCAGGCAAAGGAGCCTGGCAAGAGGCCAGCAGGCAGGGCCACAGGCTAGTCATGGATATCTGAGTGAGCAGCTGGGGTGGGGGGCAGGCAAGCAATCTGGATGGGACACCACTGAACTCAGAACACTGCCTGCTGGATTTAGAACTGGCAAACAGGGGTTATGAGTCTTCTTTACTTTCACAGGCAGATCAGGAAAAAATATGTTTTAGAGAAAACATCATCAGCAAAGTAAGACACTAAATTACTTTGTCTCACTTAAGTCTGGTTTATAACTGGATCTCCACCCTGACTCAGCTCTTTTCTACCTTCTAATTTCCTCTCCCTGTCCACCTTCTGCCCCCTACTCCCCTCTCCTAACAATCCCAGAGAGGATGCTAGACACCCAAAGGCGGACACAGAGAAGGCTGTGGTCAGCCAGAGCCATCATCATGGGGCATCCATCAACCTTGGGTCTTAAAGCTAGTCTAGCGAGAGCCCATCCCCAGAGCCCTCCACCTCTGCCCCACCCCCATCCCAGGCACGGGACTCTGCAGGCCCGGGCTGCAGGGAGGGCCAGCACAGCCCCAGCTGAGGAAGGATTTACTTATATGAAAGGAGACCGTCCCCAAACAAAGCCAAAGGTTGCGTGATAATTTTCCAGAAAGCCGTACTGTTTCTAAGACTCCATCTGCTTTGTATTTCCCTGTTGGACTGAACTGCTGTGTTCCCGAAGCCCTAAAAAGGAAAAGGAGAGGCATGAGTCCTCCGCGTGGACAGAAGACATGCCCCTGCGCCAGCGCAAACCACATGTGCCGCTAAATGAGGACAAATAAAAAGATGGCTCCAGAAGAAAGAAAGGAGCCAAGGGTTTCTCGTTTTTTCCCTGCTTGAACTCACCCGACAGACTTGAGTCCAGAGAACTCACTAGCAGGGAGAAAAAAAGTAACAGAGAAAAAGGCAGCAGCAGGAGAGCCTGGGATGACCAAACCCAAGTCCTGGCAGTAGGAAGTGCCTCTCGCCACAACTGACAACAGTATTTCCAGACTAAGAAATACTGGCCTGCCCTTCCTTTTCAGAGAGGTGGTGAATTCTAGCCTCTGTCCTCTCTGAGGCTCCCCACCTAACCCTGCCAGCATCTATTACACAGCCGCTTGCGTGTGTAGCCCGACAAGGCCGAGGCGAGAAGCTAGGCTTGGGTTTGAGGATTACTGTGCCAGTGGACCTGCTGGTGGTCTTGGACCAGTCATTCCTTCTCACCAGTCTTCTGTTTTCCAATATTTGTAACAGAGTGAAATTGAATTTTTGCTCCTCTGCAGTCAGGGCTGCCAGGCAGATCTTAAGGCCTGAGGTTAATAAGTTAACTAGAACACGGTTACCATAGACAATAGGAATAATCACAACGATATTGGTACCTGACACTCACGAGGTACTTAGTATGTGTCAGACATTGTCTTAAGCACTTTGCATTCATTATTATTCATCATTTAAAGGATTTAAACAGACAGGTAACATTATTTATTGTCATTATTATCATTATTAACATTATTTATTATATCATTTATTTGCATCAACATATTTAATTCTCACAATCACCTTACTAAATAATCATTATCATTCCCTTTATCCAGACGAGTAAACAGATGAGGCACAGAGAGGTTGAGTCAATTGCCCAAGATAACTCAGCCAATAAGCAACAGCCTCTGGGGTTCCTTCTGTTCAGCACTGTGCTGTAGTGACCACCGGGCTCCACCCAAGTGTGGCCCTTGGTCCCAAAAGGTACCCCCTTTACTAAACCTCAGCCATTGCCCTGGGACGAAGTGATGCTTCCACTCCAAAGACTGAGGTTGAAAAGCCAGCAAACCACCCAGGTGGCCTACAAAGGTGGGTCCTCCACCTGGGGGAGGACAGGAGCAGCAGGGAAAGACAATTCTGGCTCCACTGCCAAGCCTCCTTCTCAGCAAAGGGAGCCTGCTTTGGGAAGAATGACACAAATTGGCAGGGTGACTGATTACTAAGGCTGTTTTCTGAGGTCTCTGGATCAGAGGAATAGAGGAGCCCTGGCTGCCTGGGCCAGAGGCTGGTAACCCACCCCAGAGCTCCTCAGGGAGGGAGGCAGGGCAGATCTGACCCCATACCAAGACAAGAACAGAACTACATGGAGGGCCAGCTGCCCAGCTTCTCAGGCCGGCTGACTGGGCTTGTCCCGCTTGGGACACAGGGCTAGGCTTGGAGGACACGCAGACACGGTCCTTGTGGCCAGATGGTCAGTGTGAGAAGATTTTCCCAGAGTGAAGGAAGCACACGGCCAGCTCACCCACAGCTGGACCCTTCCAGGTTAAGTGGTAGCAGCATACCCTAGGAGGCACTTACAGTGTGACCACGGCTCTCTCGTGGCCGCCAGCTCGCCACACAATGTCTGCAATGGCCAGGGCGAGGCAGTGGCTCCTGTGGGCGTTTGAAGGTTGCAGCTGCCTGAGGATGACAAAGGGAATGCATTTATGCCTCTGGGGATGTAACCAGGGATGGTGCAGCCCTGTGGGGGGGTGGGGGGTGTTTTTGCCTCTGCCATCCAGAGCGGCCCCAGCAGCCCAGGCACTCCCGCAGAGCCTGGAAGGACGAAGCCAGAGCCAAGGGGAAACGCTGAAGGAGGGGCCCTGGGCTGGAGGAGGAATAGACCAGGGAAAGCACCACACAAGCAAAGGTGACTCAAGAATTGGCAGGGCCTAAGGTGTGTGTAAGAAAGGGCTGTGGAGTCTGACAGAGTCCAGGAGGCTAAACCAGATCTGCTTGGGACTGCTGTCATCCCAAGGAAAGAAAGCCATCCTAGCACATACATGGCACTGCCCTGCCTGCCAGACCAGCGCCCACATCCCTGCCCCTACAGTCCTGCAAGCAAGCGCTCTTCACTCCCACCTACCCATGAGCGTCGAGGCCAGAGGTGCAGAAGCCTGACTTCTGGGTACTTAGACATCAGGGATGGGGATGTGGAAAGGACTCAAGATGACCTCTAGGTTTCTGATGGGCACATGGTGTTGCCTCCAATTGAAATGGAGAACATGGTGGGACTGAGGGGAGCAAGGTGGGGGAGGGGGCTGAGGGCAGTTGAAGGAGGATGATGAACTGCACCTCGCACTCACTGAGCTCGAGGTGCACAGGGAACCCCCAGGTGAAGTTGTCAGACACGTCGAAGGCCCAGCCGGTTGGGGTCAGGTAGAGGCTTAAGGACCACCAGCACAGGAGGAGGCCTTGTCATAGGAGTGACTAAGATTTCCACAGAGAGGTGAGGAAGGGCAGAGGCAGTGGCCAAGGATGGAATCCCTGGAGCTCCAGTAGATGGGAGGTCAGGAAGCAGGAAGGGGGCATGCAACAGTCCAAGGAGCTAAAGGGCTCCAAGAAGGTAGTCAGCAGTGTCAGTAAAGGCCGAGACCCTTGTAATGAAGATGAGGAGGAGAGGGTCCCTGTGCATGAAGTCAATGAGTGGGAAAAGCGTCAACAAAGATGGGTGCCTCTCTCAATGTCATATTTCCAGTGCCTGGCACACGGCGAACAGTCCATAAGGGATAGCTTTTCCCTGTTGTCTGTGGAAACACCTAGTCCCCCTTTGGGCTGCGTGGAATATCTGATGTGAAAGTGACAGTGAGCTCCTGGCACCTGGAAATCCTTCTGACTCAATGAGGCCAACAACAAGCACCAAGCAATTGAAAAGTGAATAGCACCTTGTCTGGTCAAGTGGCTGCCTCAGAAAGCCCGCCATGCTCCTCGAGGAAATGATTACCATGGTATTGCCCACCCATTGCGGAAACACTGGGTTTCAGGAGAGGTCAAAGACTAAGAAAAGCAGGGTTTCACAGACAAAGGGGAAAGGATTGGATATTTAGCTCTGAATTCAGAACCCACAAATGTGGATTCTGTCATAGCTCTTCCTGCCCTGCCTCCATCCACAGGATGGTCAGTCACGTGCTATCCACTGTGCCTCCAGAGTGTCCTCACCCATGGCCGTCCCATCCCTGTCTGGGTGTCCGGCTCCTCCACTGAGCCGTTACAACCCATGCCCGACCAGCATTTCTGGCATCTCTCCTCTCTCCTATCACACTGCTTTTCTAAACACAGCTGTGACCAGGGCACTTTTTCCCACTTGACTCCACACGGGTAGGAACTATGCAAAGTTATGCCTGGATTGTACACTCTGCCTAGGACATGTAGGTTGGAAAACCTCCAGACACGGGACAAGGGTTGCCTTTCAGACAGTCATCGCTCTGCACTAACTTACTGAAACAGGTAATGCATGATTGAAAGTTTCTCAGCGTAGCCACAATCAAGACTGGAGAAGCCAACCTATATTGAGTACAGATGGTCCCCAACTAACGATATTTCACTTTCAGTATGGTAGTCAATAAATTACATGAGCTACTCAACACTCTGTTGCTTTATATTAGGTAATTTTACCCAACTCTAGGCTAACATGAGTGTTCTAGACACATTTAAGGTGGCGCGGCTAAGTTATGATGTTTGGTAGGCCAGGTGCACTTTTGACTTAAGATATTTTCAACTTACAATGAGTTTATTAGGATGCAACCCCATTGGAAGTCAAGGAAAAGCTTATAGTGTGCCAGGTACTGTTAGAAACACTTCACTTGTATTATTTCGTTCATTGTTGAAACAACCCTATAAAGAAGATATTATCCCCTTTTAAACATGAGGCAATTGCAGCACAGAGACTAAATGATTCACCCAAGGTCACTCAATTAGCGAAAAATGTTCTGAAAATTTTAAACAGCATTGAGGGAGGAATAGACCAGGAGAAGAAATAGACCAAGAAAAAGGAATAGACCAAGAAAAAGGGAAAGTGGGACCAAATGTCCTGAACCCCTGGTGTAGGGAACACGCACAGCTTTGCCTTCAAGGCCGTGCTTCAGCACTGTGTCCTATCGGGGCACTGGTTCCTGGCCACAGGCTGGCTCCCCATCTCCTGGGCTCTGATTACCGACTCCCTGAGCCTCCATGTGTCTAACAAAAGTCATCTTTCTTTCCACCAGCTTCCATTTAGTAACTCTCCCAGTGCTGCCACCTTCCCTGGGCCTTCTCCAGCTTGCTCTTTTTGAGGCACAACTTTCCTGAAAACTCAGTGGAGCTGGGGAACATGCCATGGTCAGAATGGGGTTTCTAGCTCACAGGCCTTGGGGAAGGCCCCTGCCCTCACTGGCCTGATGGCCTAACCATCACTCCAGTCTTAGCACTCTGCCATTTTACCTGCCCCAAGGTAGAGGGATCCATGCATGTGCATGTACATGGGCACGTGTATGTGTGACAATCCAGAGAAAAGAGGTGTGGAGAATGGCACAAATTGGCAGTGTGGCTGATTATTAAGGCTGTTCTCTGGGGTCTCTGGATCAGCAAAATAGAAGAGAGCAGGCTCCCCAGATCAGAGGCTGGTAACCCACCCCAGGGCTGCTTCGGGCTCTCTCTTTACTAGAGAACTCAGTGTCTCTCTTCTCCAGAGAACCCTTGGTGACAGGACGGTGCTGCATCACCTTGTACAGTCAAACGCCTACCATGGATCTAGCACTTGGCCAGGCTCTTAAGCCAATAAAAGTTACTTTGAGTCTAATAACTCACAAGTGCAGGATAAAGACAGTCAACTGGGTGTGGTGGCAGGCTTAAGGGAATAGTTCATTTTGTGCTTGCCTAGGCACAGCTCAAACACATGTTCCCCCAAATTACCTGAAACGACCTGACCTGTCCACTCTGATGTACCCATTAGTCTGAATCTACAGAAAATCGAGAGGAAAGCCGGCAAATAATGGGAGGCCTTCTGCTCCCTCTCAGGTTCAGAAGCCACTGGAGTCGGTGGGAAGAAAGCCGGGCCTTGGCCCTGGGGGCAAGCCCGACTGCTCCCATGACTGGCAGGTCTTGAACAAGTGTTCTCTTTCTCTGGGCCTCGGCTTGTCCAATTTCAGACGGACATGGAGATGAGTGGGCAACTTCCTTGTCCCGGGGGCTCTGCAGGCAGGAGAATGAGGGCTCATCATCTCTTCCCAGGAGCTCAGCCCTAAACAACCCCTCCCCAAGTGGAAAAACACTGATTCCTGCCACCAGGCTCTATGTTCCCCGACTGAGGACAGGCGGGCTGCCGGCCTGATGGAACGTGTGCTAATGAAGCCAGACAGCGCTGCAGAGCGAGCACCACCCCTGCCAAGAAGCCTTTATTTCAGCGTGACTTCCCTGGAGGACGCAGTCTCACATCCTCTGTGCTACTTGCATAGAACCCTTTCCCTGCTGGTTCTGGAGGAGGCCTGGAGACCCAGCACAGGACAGCGCTCGGGTCCTACCCCTGCGCTCCCCACCCACGTAGGGCCCAGAGTCCGCAGCTGCAGGTGCTGTCGCTGTGCAGAGTTCAGGCCACCGCAGTGTCCCTGCAGAGAACAGAGGTGCTCGCCCACTTTTATTTTAAGCTGATTATTTCCAAAATCCTGGTATTTCAGAGTCAAAAAGGAGCACTGAAACCAGTACACGGAGCCTATGCAGGAACATCAATGACCCAATGAACCAATATTAAAATTGTACAGATAACAGCTGAGCTGGGAGGAGCTAGGGACTGAGAGGTTCCCGCCACGATGCCAAGGGTCACCTCTTGCTCACATGAGGCAGTGTGTCCCCAAGTGCTCACAACATGACTCTTGACTCTCCTGGACTGGCTTTATGTAAACTGGGGGAAAGGGAGAGGTCCTGCCAAGAAACCTTTCATGAAATACAGACTTGACCCTCGCTCACTGAGAGTCTGTCCAGACATCCAGCACTCTGGTGTTTTAAACTCATGGAGACTCAGCCCCCCTGGGAACCCCTACACCCTCACCCCATCGAACCACCCTCAGTCCCCTCCTGGTCTCTCTGGCTTTCCCATTGCTCAGTCTCTTCAAGGACACAGCAGTATGGTGTGACAGATAGCACGTCACAAGCCTGGCTTGGCTCTGCCACAGATGCCAGGTGTGACTGGAGTAAGCAGTTTGCCCCCTCTGGTCTCAGTGTCCCCATACGTATCACAGCGGGCTACTTCTGTGGTCCCACTCACTTGCACAGTCCTTGACGATTTACAGAGAATTTCCTTTGCATTTCCTTACTGAATCAGCCAGCCAGGTCAAAGATTCACAAGTGGAAGAAGTAAAACCCTGCTCCCAGGGAGCATAATCCAGGTCTCTGACCCAGTTCAGTGCTCTCAGCACTCCCAGTCAGGGAGAGAAAAAAAGAGCACAGAGCTAGCCATTCCCCTCTAAGTCTCAGCATGGGCACCTGCAGGCTATACAAATGCCTACCTGGTATGATGACTTTCTGTGGCCTTTGATCTGCAGGGCCTCACTTCAGTAAAGCCACGGCCCCACCTCTGCTCTCTTAGTTCATGCCTCCCTCCTCTGCTGGCAGCCGTGGACACTGGCCCCTCACATCCTGTGTCTTTGCTTGACCCAAGTCCTAGCCTAAGCCTGGGAGGACTCACCCCTCCCACCTCTAATCGCCCTCCAGCCCCAGGAGGAGGAGGCTCTTTAAAGCCAAATCCAGGACAGGGAAAGAGGGAGGGGGAGACATGGGATAGGAGGAATGTGGAGGTATCTGGTGTCTCTCGTCCACAGCCCACCACCGCCTACCACCACAGCCCACCACAGGACCTCCCCCAGCTTGTGCCCCTCAGTGCCCTTAGGCTTTTTCAGCAGTCCTGGCTAGATGAGAGAGCAGGGAGCAGGCCCACTAGGCTCAGCCTGCATGGAAAGCAGATCTGTGTGCAGGGTCTGGGGCAGCCACGGGGAGGGGCAACAAGAGGAGCACCCATAGTTATGGGGGTCCAAGAAAAGCAAGGTCACTTCAGCATCATGAACCCCTCCACACTTCCTGAACAAAGCAGCCCTAACCAGCAGGCACCCTCTCCTGGCTGGCCGACCTCCCCGGGTCCAGCCCCTCTGTTTCCCCTAGAAGCTCCTTCCCACCAGCACCCACACAGAGCCCGTAAGTGGCGGCAGTTCCTCTTTCTCTCCTCGCTCTCTGCCCACCCTCTATTTCCCCAAAACCCAGCTTGCCACCCCCAGCCCAGTCTCTGAGTCCCTTCCGTCCAAGCTGGCCCAACTCCTCTCTCAGGGTCCAGCAGACAGGCAGCCCTCAGAGACCAAGCTTACTTTGCCTCCTGCGTCTCCTCCCTAGCGGCGCTTCCATGGGGCAAAACCCTCACCTGGTTGTGCTTAAATAGCTATCTGTCAATATAAATTGGGTCAAGTTCGTGCCTGGCCGGTAGCTGACTGGCCAGCAGTGGGGGTAGAGGAAAACCTCACTTCCCACAGTTGCTGTTTTCTCTCCACTCAAAGCCCATCTTGGAGTCCAACTGATGGTTCTCTCCCCTCCAGCCCTGTCCCCCTAATCGGCCCCTGAAGATATGCCTGGGGGATCCTAAAGTTCTTACATACTTTTAGTGGGGTGTGGGGTGGGTGGTAAGGAACCAAGTCTGCCTTGTGCCCTGGGCAGAAAAGGACTTTCCTGGAACTAACTTAAACGCTCCCTCTACCCTGATGGTTAGGGAATAACCCACAGCTTCCCCCGAGGAGTCCAGAGTTCCGGTTCAGGAGCAGCTCTGAGGGGCACTGAGCTGAAATGAGTTATGAGACGCCTCCCACGAGGGCCCTCCTAACTCCCTGGCCATCCCGGGCAACTCTCAGCACCTCATCAGGCCTGCGCTCTCGGCCCGTGTGCCCTTGCACATGCTGTTCTCCTTCCTGGAATACCATTCCTCTCCCTCCCTGTTAGCCTGGATCACTCGAGCATTTGTCCATGTGTTCATTCAACAAGAATTCTGAGGGCCTCTTCTGTTGACTAGGTGCTGGGCGGATGCCAGAGATGGACTGCGAAGCATGCAGCCTGGGGGGCACCGGTTCTCGTGGCGTTTGCGTTGGGGAGAGGAAGAGGAGGGGAGGACAGACAAGGGACAAATAACGACAGCGATGAATAAGGACACCATTTGGTGGTGGGGTCTGACCGAAGACAGCAGGGGAGACCGCCCCCAAATCACAGCCTCTGTGCAAGTTCACAGCACTTAGGGGCCCCAAGAAGGGGTTTGAGGGATTTTCTAGGAGGTAAAAAACTGAAAGCAGAACAAGCATGTATGTGAAGGGGAATCAGGAGTCCTGTCTATCCTTCAGATTTGGAAAATTACAACGTCTCTCTTCCAGGAAGCCTTCCCTGGCCCTCTTCATGACTGGGCTGACGCTTAGCATCCTGCAGGTCCCTGTAACCACCTGTCTATTTGTCCTCCTCTCATGCCCAGTCGCAGACCTCAATCAACCCTGAGGTCAAGGCCATGGCTGTCTTGTTGAGCCCAGTATTTCCCCTAAACACCTGCCAGGTACTTCCTGTCTACTTCTTTTCAGGGCAAGGAGAGATAGTAGGCAGGTGGGTGCATATGTGCCCAGAAAGGGTCCTGAGCCCCTGAGGATAGCCAGAGATCCCCCACTTAGGGAGCAAGGACAAGAATAGGGCAAGGTGCGCTGTCGCTGTGGAAATGTCAGGTCACCGCATTTCTGGTTATTGGTTATAGTTATCTGTCCTGTGGTCAGATATGAAAGAAAATGCCTTATCGCTTTGTAAAGTCACTACACAAATTATACTGTTAGACAAATTACAAAATGCCAGGCATGAAAAATTACCTTCACTCAAACCCTATCTAAGACAAAATCAGCTAAGCTGGTCAAATGTGCTTCCTTTGCACCAAGCTCCTCTAGATGTGTGGGGAACTGGTGTCTCCCCCAGGAATCTGAATATGAATAAGTGAGGAATGGGTCTTGTTGTCTTTGTAACACTGAAGTAGGAGGCAGGGGAATGGCACTGACATGCCCATGTCAAAGAATAAGTACCTTTCATCAAAAAATTCTGGAACTGGCAAAACTGCGCAGCTGTGGTTTGAGAATCCACGTAATTATAATTTGGGAAAGGAGAATGAAGGTATCTACTGGGCAGGGGGATTCTTCTGGAGAACTGGACATGTTTTCTGGTTTGGTGTGGGTGATGTGTTCACGGGTGTGTGATTTTGTTATAATTCACTGAGCAGAACACATACACGTTGTACACTTCTCTTATGAATGTTATATTTCAACAGCAACCCAAAAAAAAAGCACTTTACTAGGAGTTCTGTAGCTGTGAGGGTGACTCCTTTTAAGCCAGTAACTAGGCAGGAGAGGTGGAAAGGGTAAGAAGGTCAGCTCAGGGGTGCTGGCCTGGGGCTGGCCAGCACCTGCCACTCCTATCTTAACACCAACTACAGTGCAGGACTGGGGTTTTCTGTCTGCCCCCGGATCTCACAGAGCATTTATGGAAGACAGAGAATGCATTTATGCCTCTCTGTTATCACTTGTGCCTGCAGAGAGAGGATGTTCCAGAAATCTCTATTGCGTGAGCAAGAATGATATACCCATGTGCAAACACTTAATGTGCGAGGTGGAAAACAAATGGCCGGAGGGAGTGAAGCAATGTACTGTGGGGCTGGCAGGAATGTGTGGTGATGGCTGTTGGCAGAGGTGAGGTTATGTGGGAAGGGAGGAAGACCTGGTTTCAGTCAAAAAGTCAGCAGCTGGCGTGGGTGCGAACAGGAGTCAGTTGGCTGCTGCGCCCCTTCCAACGGCTACTTACCATGTAGAACAGGACTTACCCGCCCTCGAGGCTTTCAGAAACAAATGCACACAAGTCATTTCAGCTGGTTGGTGCAGGCTCTGTTAGCCAATCACCATTTCCCTTTCAAGAAGAGGGGAAATATCAGGGAACACACTCGTTTCCTTGCTTCTTTTTTCTGGGCACAGGGGAGAAGGCTTGGGGTGAGAAGATACTGCCGCAATGAGTCCTGACTTACCGAACGCAGTCAGCGCTGCCATCTCCTTCAAACAGGAGCTTCTGTAGGACACAGCCTTGGACAGCTGCCAGGACCCCACAGGGACCGCCCTGCAAAGAAGGGAAGGTGTTACTGCCAGTGAAACGTGGCCCAGGGTCGTCTGTTCCCCCAAAGCCAAATTCCGTGCACAGGTTACATGGGCTCTTCCTACCCCCTTTCGAGCAGCTACCTCCGAAACAAGGTGACAAGGTGGTGCCTACTTCTAGGAAGCACTGACCCTGACTCACCAAGAGTGGGTGACAAAGATCCGGGCATCCATGACTAGAGGAAGGAGTAAGCCTGCACTGTCTGAAGGGAGGAAAGATTCTTCACGGCCTGTCAGGTGTGAGGCTAGGATGACACTTTTGGTTTCTAGTCATGCAGAGAAATATTTTCATGTCCACAGAGTGAGGACGTCAAGTATCTAAGCTGCCTTCAAGGTCTATCCTAAAGGCCTCCTCCTCCAGGAAGACTTCCCTAAACAACTCAGCAGCACCCCCTGTGAGCCCTCTCAGCAGTATCCTCTCAGGTGAGTGTTCTTTGTGGGCTGTTTGTCGTCTGCCTTGCTACCCATTAGGTGAGTAATTAGTAATTAGGTGTCCCTTCCCATGTGGAATCTAAGAAGATCCTTGAGAAGCTCATCCCTATAGACACCAACAAATACAAGGACTGTCAGAGCATCAGGCCTTGGGTTTCCCTGAAATGGGAGTGCAAGAAGATGTGTTGAGTTCGCCATAGCAGGGGCAGAAGCTGGTGGTCCTAGGGCTCTGTCTCAGGTAGTGTAGGGCAGAGACTTGAGAAATGGCGCCTGATTAAGTCGCCTTGCTCCCTCTGACCATTTTTGATGCCAAACTTCGAGTGGCTTCTGGCCCTTCAAGAGCTTATCTTAGAAAATATATATAAGCCATGCTTGAGTCCTCTGAGTCCACCCAGATGTCCTTGCCATCTATTGTACCTTCTCCTCAAACCACTCTGTGCCATGACTTGATACTCCTGCCATTTCCTGCAGCCCCTGGACTTCCACACAGTCTCTCCTTTGTTCATGCCACCCCCCTGCCTAGAGCGCCCTTCTTCTAGCTCTGGCCACAAGAAGCCTGTACATTTCTCAGTGCTCAGCTGAAGGCCCCGGTCTCACATCCCCACCAGCTGCAGGGCCTCCTTCTGCTCCATCTCAAAATGGATTCCAGCATCATGCGCCCCTAAGGTAAGGGTGGCATTCCCCAGCCCTGGCTCCACCAGTCACACATGCCACTCTGACTGAGTGACGAATGTGGGACTGGCCGCCAATGGATAGTCCAGGGGATTGGACAGGATTTACCAAACTGGAGGGAGCTCCATCCCAACCCATGATGGGCCTGCAGAAAGGTCCCTTGGAAAACTGAAAAGCAACCTGCCTTGTTCTGCACAATGCCATATTTTAACGAGGCTTTGTCATTAAAGGAAAAACTCTGAAGTTTCCATTCTTCATTGAAACAGCAAAAGCTGGAACCAAACAGAAGGTTCTTTATGTCCTGTCAAAAGAAGAGAGAGTTGTAGAAGTTGTTTTGAAAGCAAACAATACACTACTCGGTGTACATACTCCCACAGTAGTTGGTCTTGAACTCTAGCAGGTCAGTCCGTTTTCTAGAAGGGTTATCTATTTTGTTTTTTATTTTGAAAACTCATTCTTCTCATGTTTGAGCAAAGAGAAAATAGACTCTGAGGCTCTCACCTCTGGGACATCTACAAACCAGATTGGCCTGTGCTGGCCCAGGCCCAAATCCTTCAAAGTTCCTCAGAGAAAACTTGAATCACCAGCTTTTAGCTTTACAAGAGAATTTGGAGTTTCTTGACAGCACCTTAGGATCCCTCGGGGAGCCTCTTAACAATCCTGATGCAGAGCCCACTAAATCAGAACCCCTGGGTGCTGAGACTGCAGTATCAGTCAGAACTTTCAAAGCTCTCCTAGGCAACTCCAGTGCGCAGCCAGCTTTGGGAATCATTGCTCTAGGACAGATTTAGCAAACTATAAGCCATAGGCCAAGTCTGGTCCCCCACCTATTTTGCAAATAAAGTTTTATTAGACCACAGCAAACCCATTTGTTTACATATTGCCCATGTTTGCCTTTATACTACAATATGACAGAGTTGAATGGCAACAGAGAGTCAAAAAAATTTATTATCTGGCCTTTTACAGGAAAAGTTTGCTATCCCCTGCTCTATCTAGTACAACGCTTTATATTACACGTAAAACTCTCCTTTATAACATCACCCACAAGAGGTCCCCCTCAAACTCAGCATGAATACCCCAATCAGTAGAGGAAAGAGGGTCCCTCTACCTCCTGAGACAGCCCCACCATTTCTGCCTAGCTCTGTCCTCTCTAACTTCCAGCTGTGATTGAGCCCACTGTTCATCTCCATCAATCCACACCCACCCCTCAGAACCCTAGAACACATCAACCTGTCCCCACTGACAGGTCCTTGGGTGGGAAGGCAGAGCCTCTCCTTGAAGCCCCCTAGCCATGCCAGCCACCTCCTCTTGCTCTGCCTTGATTTTACCTTGCAGAGTTTCTGAAGGATCACCAGGTAGAATCTGTCACCACCTCCCTAGGGCCCTCCCTGGGTCAGATCTTTCCTGACTTAGAGTATTCCCTCCTAGAATCAGATCCTTTTTTTTCTTTTCATGAAGTACAAGAAGCTCTGTAACAGAAGCACTTGTCTATGTGTCACCAAGTGACTCGTGCACACAAGAGAGTGTGGGTGAATTCACCTGTGGGGACCTTAGTTCCCCTCTTGCACTATAACTACAATTATCCATGTATTTGAACTGAGTTTCCCAAGAGACTACAAGCTAGGAACTTGAGTTTTCTGGCTGAAGCCCAAGGTCATTCTCTTCACCACAGAATGCCAGCTCCTAGCCAGGCACGGCGTGGCCACTCGATGGCAGGTTCTGCGCCTGGAAACCGGTTCTACTTGCTATGGATACCAGGCCCTGGAATCTTCTCTCTGTGTGGGCTTCAGTATTTCCAGCGGATTTTAGAGATGCTACTACTGGGTCATCTTTAGGTGGTTTTTAGGTTCCCCTAAAGAGGTTGCCCAAAACAAGAGTACCCACTGCAAAGCACCCAGCCCTGCGGCTACAGATAACCAGCGCACTTCTCCGAACTCGGGACCACTGAGATGGGCCTGACACTCTGTGACTTCAAAAGAAGTAAGGGAAAGGGGAAAGAGGGAAAAAGCCTCTAGAAAAATCCTTTTACATTTTCAACAGTGTGCTGCGTAAATTATTTGTATGAAAGAAGAGAAAGAGGCCAGCTGTGTCCCCGGGAGTTTTTTGTTTCCTCCTGGAGCTTGACTGAAGAGCCCATGGAGGGCCGAAGGCGCAGCACCCCATGCTGCAGAAATCACAGGCCGAGGGAAGGACCAAAGCCAGCTGGCAGCTAAGGACGGCGAGGAATCCGGGACATCCCTGCAGAGGAGGCTGCTAAGGCCAGGAACTGTTCCCAAGGTCCTGTGACCACAGGTCCCTCCAGGAGGCCATGGGTGTGGAACCTGGATATTGCTGAAGAGTCATTAGTACCTCCCTGTCCTTCCCTCACTGCAACCCAGCCAGGGCTCTGTGGATGAGGGAGTGCGGCAGAGCCAGTTCCCATGACAACTTTCCAGAGATGGTGAGGAAGCTCTGGGCCCGAAGAACCACATCCTGGAACATTTAAACGGAAGGAGGTTGATTTCTCACCTTTTCACTCTGAGCGGGTGAGGGAGTTGCCAGGGCCAGGATGCCATTCTCCTGACCCTCAGTTTAGTTTTTCTTCTCCATCATACCCAAATTTCCATTTTAACACACAATTCACGCCAATTCAAATCAAGACATACCCTCTTTTAAGCTGACACCTACCTTTGCCACTGAGAAGTCAATTGGCGTTGACACTATCTGCAGCTTGAGCATTGATGGGGCTGGAGACAGGAGGATGACTTCTTCCCTTATCAACTCATCCTCCACATCCTCTGAAAGAAAACCGTGATGGTGTGAATCTTGTTATGATACCAGCAGAAGAAAAGGTGCAATTGCTTAACACCATGGACACTGATAAGTTTGGACAAGATGTGAATGAAAGGAGGGTTCCTCCATACCCCTCCTCTCTGCCCTTCAGGGTTCTCACTTCTTTATCAGCAGAAAGCAGAGTTCCTGTCACAACCCCACGGTGGTCTGCACCACAAGGTTGCTGGGGGGTGGGACCTGGCTATTGGTCAACTGGAAATTTCTGCTGTGGATGTGCTGTGAAACAACTGTCTGGGCCCACAAAACCCTAGCGCAGACACATTTCTTACAAAAAGTGGGCATGACACACATATCTGTCCCCTGAAGACAAACATGAAGAGGACAGCATTAGGAAAGAAAATGCCTCCATTACTGATTTATCAATATACATACATATATACACATATATGTATTAGATATATATAATATATATAAATGAAAGCCACAAGTGGCTTAATTTTAATAGTAGTATGTTTGAGTGTGTGTTTTGTTTTATATCAGATAAGCCCCATATAAAAGCCCCATGAGAAGTAACTATTATTACTCCCTTTTACAGATGAGAAAATGGAGGCTTAGAGAAATTAAGTAATTGGCCCAAAGTCACACAGCTGGAAAGCAGTGAAGGGTTGCTATAAACTCGGGTCAACTCCTAATCACTCTGCCATCCTGCCAGCAAGACCTCCAGCCAGGATACTAAGCCACACTCCCGATGTAGTCTTCTTACAATTGGGGTAACCAAGGCCCAGAGTGGTTCCCACTTAAGATGGCAGCAAAAGCCTGTGTCCTCACAGCCAGTGGAGGTTCCCTCTCACCATTGCACCTCATTGCTGCAGCATTTACCAGAACACTCAGATGAAAGGCCCACATGAAAACCACCCATGGCAATTCTGAATGCAAAGCTAAGCAAGGCAGAGTCCCCAGCATAGCAAAGGCCTTCACCAGAGTGGGCCTGCCGGATGGGGTGCCGGGATATATACAAGACCAACATCCCAGGACACATTTTATATCTTATTCTAGAGCTTCCTTTGCTCCCCTGGGGGAGGAACAAGCAGTATGAGGAATAAGTCTGAAATTTAAATGAGAACCTGAACTTAAATCAGAACCCTTCTTTGTGTCTCTGAAGAAGTCATCCTGTGACCGTGGTCTTACAAAAATAACCTGACATCAACACTAGATATTCAATCAGCAACATGTCTGGGTCTTAAGAACATGGCGGTAGGTAGAGAAAGTAAGAAACCAAATGAGATATATAACAATACAATTCACATCCTTTATAAGCATAAGCACCCAAAACAACACTCCGCATGTTGCAAGAACATATACAAGCAAAAGAGATGTCAGCTAAACCCATAAGAAAGACTGCTAATGGACGGAGGGTCATGGGAGTGGCGGGGGGGGGGGGCTAAAGAGGAATAAGGAGGGAAAGATAAGAGTGAGGGAGGTCCATGGGGGGTTGCAGACTAAGGAATGCTGGAGGAATAGACATGTGATTAATTCAACCCCAGGGACCTGAGGCCCAAACAAGGGGAAAGTAACCTGAGTGATTGCACCAGGACCTGAAGCACTCCTTGCAGGGCCTTGGGCCAGACTGATTCTGGAGGTACAGCAGGGCAATATTTAAGCCTATTTATTTATTTTTTTTTTTTTTTATAAAGAGGCATGTGTTTTTATTTATTTATTCGTTTTGTTTTTTTTTTTTTTTTTTTGTTTATACATGCACTGGGTACAGTCAGAAGCGCGGGAGGGTGAGAGAATTCACCAGAGCCAGAGCGGGGAGCAGAGCAGGCAGAAGGACCGAAGTACACTGCTGAGGGGAGCAGCGGGCGGCAGGAGAGGTCTGCGCACCATGTGGGACCCTCATCCATGTGGGACCCTCATCCGGTGGCCGGGGAGCAGCCGGGGATCGAACCGGCGCCTCAGAGGCTGCGGGCAGCTTCGCAACCCAGCGCTCAACTGCTGCGCCACCGGGGAGGCCCTTAAGCCTATTTAGAGGCTTCTGTTTAGTCTGAGGTTGTCCACGGAGGAAGTCGGGGCTGAAATGTGCTCTGCTCAGGGCCCCATGAAGTCTGGGGCTGGAGGCTGGTGGGTCCAGTGGAGCCCAGCCTTGCGTGAGACTCCAGGAGGAGGCAGTCTCCTCTGGCTTTGCGGGGAGGAAGTTGGCCCTGATGCAGAGTTGGTTCAGGACCACATAGCAGTCCTTGGGCCCAGACTGGCGGGACCGCCGTGCAAGGGAAAAACAAAGCACTCTGGAATGACATGTTGGCCAAGCAGACAAAACCATTTGCAAATACCGGTGGTTTGAGAATGCTATTTTTAAGACCCTGGTATAACAGTCTGGTTGAAAAGAAGCAAGGTTTTTTTTTTTTTTTGTTTCTTTTTTTTCCCCCATACCATTTTATTTGACCTTGGGAGGAGGAAATGTATAATATATATAATATATAAGAGAGGCCCCTCCATCTCTTTCCCCAGGTGCCCTACTCAGGCTCGGCGTTTCTCATTGACTGCAAGATCTCTCCTGGAAGATGCCCCAGGTGGGTCCTGCAGGCCAGCACTCCTCCTGGCTTTTGATAACAGACTCCACCTCTCAACCCCCCCACCAAGGATGCAGGCTGAAGCCTCAACCTTCTCCCACTCTCCAGCCTCTGAATTATTCTGCCTCTAAAATCTCTCCTGCCTCACATCCTTCCTTTCCTCCACTGTTAAAAGCTCTTTACTGAGTACCCAGGATGTGCCAGGGGTTACATGGGACAGAGAAGGTCCAGAGGTGGTTAAAACAGCACTCCCACATTCAAGGTGCTCACTGTCTGGAAGGGAGACAAAGTCCCAAACAAATAATATTATAATTGTGCTAAAACAGATAAATAATTGTGCTGAAAAGTATACAGGTTTTTGAAGAGTCAGAGTAGCTTCCCAGAGGAATATTCAAATATCAGGTAGATGTTTGAAGAGGTCTTAAAATACCCATAGGATTTCCCCCAAATAGATAAAGGACCCAATCACTCCTTTTCTGGACTATTTCAAAAGCTCCTCACTAGTTTTCCAAGGTCCAGGCACTTGCCCCTGAAATTCATCTTTAACACCCATCTGGAGCCATAGCCCTGGCTATGTTACTCACTAGCTCAGGATCCTCAAGGTCCCTTACTGGCTGTGAATTTATAGTCAGTCTCTTCAGTGCAGCGCTCAAGGTCATCCTTGCCTTGCCACACAACCTGCGTTCCCAGCACCGTCTCCCGCTGACCCCATGCCTTCCCTATAGTCAGTCACCTCAAGTAATCCCTCTCTCACACTCCAGGCCTTTGCCTGTGTAGTTCATGCCACATCTCCTCTTGGCAAGACCTCATGCAGCCTTCAAAGGTCAGTCTGAATATCACCTTGCTATGGAAACTTTTGGAAACCACCACAGAACTCGGTTAGAGCAGAGATGAACCTCTGATCCTCTGTTATATGCATTGCTGTCAACTTCTCTTCCCTTGTCCTACCCAACACTGTCCTCCAAGAAGGCACTTCTAACTGCTTTCAACAGAGTTCTGTCGAGCTCTGGCACAGAATTTCTAACAAAACTTTACTGAACTAAACCAAAGTAAGACAAATAGTGGTGGGGAAGGAAATGCCATTCCTCTAGTCAAATGTTATCCCTTGCTGCTGCCCCCCAGTCCCCTACACCTCTTTCCCTTTCTCTCTTCCATAAACTCTCCTGGTGAGTGGGTTCCATGATTGCTTATCTTTCATCTCCATTTCCTTTCCTAAACCGACAGCTAAGCTACTAGCAAAGAGGGGCCCTACCTCCCTCTGGAAACACACACACACTTCAAACAGCTGGCTTCTGAGAGAACTACTAAAAGCCCTCCTTCCACTAGAAGCCCTCTGGGTTCTGAAGGCCAGGAACTGCTTCACTTTATGACCAAACAGGAGTGGCTTTCATTGGAAAATCTTAAAGTACAGTGCCTTACAGAAAGGCTTTAGATGCCAGGTTTCCTGGATCCCCATTTCATTCTGCACAGCCCTGAGCAGAGACCCACCCCTTCCTGGGCAGGCCAGACAGTCCTCCCAGTCACTTCTGATGATCACAACTCTGAGGAATTGTCACCTCAGAATAAACAAACCCCTGCCTCCATTCAGAGGCTGCCCCTGCCTTTCAACTTCATCAAAGCCAACTGCCCATCTCACAAGTAACTTCTAAAAAAGCACACTGCTTTCCTCAGTTGAAAAGGGAGTATTAAAAAGCAATAGGAAAAGTACATGGATGGCTCTTATATGCCAAAATGGCCCAGCAGGTATATTCATGGCTTGTAGAGAAAGAGTAAGTGTCTACGGAACTCAAGCCTTATCTCTTCATGTCCACTATTGGTCTATCACCATCCATTCTGGGCTGCTTTTGCCATGTCCTGAAAACATGTACATATACATCCTTGGAGAGTAGAGAATTGCAGAAAGAGAAAAGTAAAAAGATGGCTTCAAAACTAAAGAGTGAATGGACATGTTCCCTCTCTTGATCTGAGTTGTAGTTATAGGTCTGAGCACTTTGCACTTGATGCACTTCTTTGCTTATATTTTACACCTTGATTATCTATTCCTAAATCTTTTAAAAGGTGAACTTCCCCCTACAGAGCTAAATTGATATTTTGACGGAGAACCAGCTTCTGGAGACTTCTATAGGTTCTGAGTGACCCTAAAACAATCTTCAAATGCTGAAAGGGCTCCCCTGCTGCTTTGCCTCTCCCCCAAAGTGGATCTCAAAATAATTAGACTTCTTAGATGGATTTCTCCAGGACAAAGACAGGCAGTGGAAGACAACATCAACTAAAAAGAGAGGAGCCTGCTCTACTCACTCACGCTCTGGGCCAAGTTCTTCTTTGCAAGGTCAGTAGGAGGACAGTGGCTCCCCACCCAGCCAGTGGAGAGCCCACCATCCATGCCCCCAGACAGCGCAAACGAGACCCTGGCCCTGAAGGGCACAGTGGAGAAGCACCAGCCACACCTACCAAGCTGTAGGGCACCCAGCTCACCGTCGGCCTTGCTGGACACTGGCAACTGGTTTTTCCTGGGAAAAAAAGAAAACATCAGTGTGCTAGAAGCAAATGACAGAGAAATATAAACTGCAGGGGAAATTGGGGAGAGTACTGGAGGGGGTCCAGGGGGTAAATTCCAGGTTCTCTTGGGTCCTGGCTCGACACTGTGTGCACCTTGCACCGGTCACGCTCCCTTTCTGACACTGGTTCCATATCGGATAAAACCAAATCACCTCCAAGGGTCCTTCAATTGCGTTCACAAACACACACACACACACACACACACACACACACACACACAGTTCCTGTCATCACTGTATGAGTTTTTTTTTTTTAATATCTCTCTCTCTTTTTTTGGTTTCCTTTCTTCTCCCAGCTTTCTTATAAAGCTATCAGCAGCCATTTATAAGCAAATCTGAGATGTACCAAAGAACCTGCCCTGTATCCTATTATCTGAAAATGTGTCCTGTGATTCTGATTTGTAAATTCAGGCCAAGTCCAAGCAGAGCATTCTTAAAATGGCCTACCTGTATTTTAGCTCTCTTTAGTTGTTTCTTCCCCCTCCAGTATGCATCAATCTGAAGTAAGATCACTTTTTTGAAAGAATGTGCTAAAAATAACAACATTACATCACTCTCTCAAAAACCCGTTTACTATGTTAAAAATGACAGCTCTTTTGAACGTAGCATTGAAATATATTTTCCTCCAACATCCTTGCAGGGGTCTGATAGGATTGAAGTAACAATTGCAATCTCGCTATGGTACATTCTATTGAATTGGCTTCCTCCTGAAGATGTATGGAGGGGCGTGCGTGGAAGACCACGGAGGACACACAGTACCGAATGCCCGAGCACGTACTGCTTTGGACTCCGGCTTCTTTCTCTGTGCTGGAACAAGCTCTCCTTCCCCCTCCCACCCTGCCAATTCCAATCCTCCCCTAGTCCTCTCCACTCAATCAAGACCATTCCCTTTCATTCAAAACCACAAAATTCCTTTGTCCCTACACTACCAGGGTTATGCAAGCGTTCCTGTGGGGAAGGGTGAAAGAATGCACTGGAAACAGGAGCTAGGGCAGTAGAAGGATGTGAAAGAGGGTGTTAACACAAGGCTGTCATAGGTCCCAAGCCCCCAGCAATGGGTACTCACTTTCACAGAAGCCTCTCCCGCCAAACTGCTCCCACCCCCATAGCTCCACTCAGGCTGAGACCTGAGCACCCCCTCTATCTCTCCCTCCTGTCACTGTTTCATCTGGAGACTAAGGCAGGGTGACTTGCCCTCGTTGTGCCTCAGTGTAGGGACACTGAAAAGTAAACTTGGAGGCTTGGGCCCTAGGTGGCCTCTAAAGCCTGCCATGAACCATTTCAAACAGGGGTGGCAGAAGCAAAGGCATCTCTGGAACATTCCAGCAGCAATAACCTCTCTCTGTCTCTATCTCCGCCTCATCATCTCCCCCAAATCACTACAATGGCCTGCTAGCAGGTTCCTGACCCCCAGTGTGAAGCCCCACTCCCACATTGGCCCCCTACATCTTAACCTGGCTATCTAAGGCATCTTTCTAAAGAACAAATCAGACCACACCACTGTCTGGCTGAAATGCTTCAAATGCTTTCAAATGCTTTCCCATCACCATCAGCAATAATGATAAAAATCACAATTATAAATAATGACAGTAATATAAGAGCAAATACTGTGACTGTGTACTGTTTCAGGCAGTGCTGAGTGCTTTTCAAGCATCAAAAATCATTGGCTTCTCAGTACCAGGTCCCATAATTTTCCTAGGATTACTCAGCAAGTAAGTGGCAGCACAGGAATATGAACACGGGCAATGACTCTCAAGATAATGGCAGAGAGACAATGGCAGTGACCACCACGTACTGCTTCCTTATAAAATAAAATCAAGGCCCACCAGGGTACCCTCAGGGGTACCTATGATCTGGCTGCCCACCCCTCAACCTCTATCCTTTGCACCCTCACTCTCCACTTGCATTTCCCCCATGCTGAACTTCTCAGCCTGTGCTTCTATACCTTTTCATAAGCTATATGCTTCATCTAGAATATCCCTTGGCAAACTCATACTATTCCTCCGAAGTCCAACTGGAAGGTTACCAATTTCTCAACCCCAAAGTAGGCATTCATTTCATTTCTTCACTCACTCACTAGCAAACATGTGACATTTATCTGGCAGGCTTATCTCCTGGCCCTAGTGAGACCCGGCCATGTAAAATGAATAGGTATAATTCGCAATATGACATGGTGTGGTAGGCTGGATAATGGCCCTCAAAAATATCCATTTCGTAATCCCTGGAACAGGCAAATGGTCCCTTATGTGGCAAAAAGTACTTTGCGAATGGGATTAATTTAAGGATTTTGAGATGGAAGAGGGTATCCTGGATTATCCCGGTGAGACCAATGTAATTATAAGAAGGAGACTGGATGCAGAACAGGAGAGGTGACGTGATGATGGAAGCAGAGGCTGGGAGTGGTACATTTTGAAGACGGAGGACGGGGCCAGGTGCCAAGGATGTGGGTGGCCACTGGTAGCCGAGAAAGGCAAGGAAACAGGTTTTCCCTGAGCACCTGCCAACACCTTCACTTTACAACTTTAGCTCAGTGGAACTGATCTCAGAATTTGGTCCTCCAGAGAAGTGAGATGATAAATTCATATTGTTTAAGTCACTGAACTTGTGGTATCAGTGGCAGAAGCCATGGGAAACTAATACCAGTGGTGAGACAGATAAGGAAGAACAAAGGACTGTGGGTTCTCTTGGTTGCCTCTTGTCATATCTCACTGCCCAGCATCTACTCAATGCTCCATGACTGGGTGTCGATACCAGAGTGACCCTCACAGAATCTCAGTGACTCACACAAGGTCACACAACGTAGAAATGCTAGAGCCAAGACTCGCCCCCCGGCTGCTGGCTCTGTTTTGCTCTTTCCTCTACTTTATGCTTCCTTCCCAGCCCCCAATCCTCCTCGGCTTCCTGTGGACCACGGAACAAAGTCCAAACCTTCCAAGTGGCCCCCCTGGATCCTGAGGGCAGAGCCACGAGGTATGTGGGTGGCCCCAAGTAGTGGTGAGAGGGTTGAGATGTTCCCCCTGCTTCGGATACAGCGGGGCCGCCCCGTCCCCATCCCTGACCCAGTCATGAGACTTCCACCCAGAGTGCCATCCATCAGCTGCAAGACCCAGCTCAGAGGCTTTGTGCCGGTTTCCCATAGATCTCATCACCAGAGGAGACTTCAATTATGCTCACACTTAGGGAATGCACTTATTGTTCCTTTCATGTGTCCCTTTGTGGCGTAAGCATTACAAAGTTTAAAAGGTCAGTTTAAAAGCATGTTCTTGCCTTTGAGTGAAAACTATTATGAAAAACAACAAGAAGATAAATCAAGGAATTCAAAATACTTTTTCAAAATGTGATTGTGCAGATACCCCAGAGATATGTGTCAAAGTGTGCATCTAGTAAGTCCACACTCGCCAGGCTGCAGGCACCCCGGCTATCTGTTGTATCTGGGGTCTCCACTTCTCACCTAATCATCATTTTGTGTGTCCCTGAGGGAGAAGCAATGGCTAGGGCACTGCAGGTGTCTGGGAGTATATGGAGTCAAGACTCAGTCTCTGGGTAGCTGGAACTTGGAAAGAGTTACTCAGGAGCCTGGGTTCTTGTCTCCGCTTTTCACCATTCTGCATGTCCTTGGGCAAATCATTCACCTCTGTGGGCATCAGGTTCCTCCTCTGAACCATGGGGATGCGAGCAAATGCCTGCTGGCTGTGGGGCAAGACCAGGGGCAGGGACTCTGAGAGGACCGGAGAGGCCAAACCACGTTATTCTTGAAATTTTAGTGATTGTACATCCCAACACCCAGAATATTCCACCAGCTCTTAACATACAGAGAAGAGGGCATGGTCATTCCTCAGGGTTTGGTACTGAATGTTGGCCTAAATTAGTAATGGATTCCAAATGAAAGGTGTCCCATGAGAATAAACATGTAGATCACTTACTACGTATTAGAGGAAAAATCAGAGCCCAATGTGAATGGAGTCCAACGGGACCCCACCCATGCAGCACAAGATTCCAGAATATAAGAAATTAACACTGACTGTTAATTTCTGACCGTTGAAAGTCAGTGATATCCCAGCACATCTAACCAAAGTGATATAAAATTATCTGGAGGGGCACTCTACAGACAGACCACACAAGATGCCAGGGTGGCGTGGCAGGGTGGAGATGTTTTCCAGTCCCACTGAAAATATGCTCCAAATGGGAAAACTACTAAACACATAAGAAAATGATGCACCACTGTAAGTAAGTTGACACAATAAGCAAGGTTCACCGAGGCTCCCAAGAACTTGAGCTGGTGCAACAACAGTCTAAAAGAGGCTGTAATTCGAGATACAAGAGCAAATTTACAAAAGGAAAGGAAATCATAGGAAAAGAAAAAGACACTACAAGTAAAGCCTGAGCAGTTTTAAAAGGAAACACAGTCATAGAAAGAAAAACTATGCTCAAGCACATAGTGGTGTGGATAATAACATTAAGTATAAAAAGGAAATCGACACGTCTACTCCTAGAAAGGAGGAGGGAAGCTACTATCCCGATTTAGCAGAGTTGTCCAGCTGTCCGTGGACATGTAGGAAGAGACCAGACCAGTGATAAGACCAGCTCTCGCACCAAAGAGGAGTGGCACACTTGGCAAGGAACTAACGGCCTGGAGTCTCAGCTACCCTTTTGCCAGATGGGCCTTTTGAGAGGCTGCACCGACAGACTTCAACTCTGGGGTTCGCTCTATCCCCACCCGCACAAGCTTCTTGGTGGGTGCACACATAGCCTGCAGCTGGGGGGCGCCCTCTGAGGAGCAACCTGCCTTCTCTTCTCTTTCCCAAGGGTGCCTTCGCACAGCCCTTGCTCCTAAGGTGCTCATTAAAATCTGAACTGCTGGAGAAGCAGTGAGCCTTAGTGAGGAGATCCCAGGGGGCAAGCTGACTTTCAAAGAACTTTTTCAAATTGAAGTTCTCCACAGGAGAGATTTT